AAGGTGATTATAGCCATAAAATGGATGTCAATCAAATGTGGACATCACTGTCCAGGAAATTCCAATAAGTGGATTTCTGTTGTTGTTGAGCGATACGCATTAGTAAAATATGATGACAAACATCAAGAGTTGGATGTTTGTAAATGTTGGGAGTGAGATGTTAGCAAACATTTGGTAGCGATCCAACAAGTGTTGATGAAGGGTGACTACTCGTGTCTGGTGTTAGACTTCAATGATCATCAAGAGTTTAACACCATAGTTACCAATACAAAATATGGTGACAGGAATCAAAAGCAGACTCCAGTTAGTGAATGTTGGTTAATGATTGACAATTGATGATGTAGGTGATGAATGGCATTGGGAGTAGGATGTAAACAAAGAAAGTTGGTCGACGAACGTCAATAACTGACCAAAAACAATTACTACCATTAGTAAGACGTTGATTGAGAAATGTTAGTCAATGAACATTAGTCAACATAGTTAAGAGGTGATTGGCATTAGTAGTAGGATGTTAGTTGGCATGCATTGGTTCGAAATCAGGCAACACCAAACAACAAACATCTAATATTTCTATGAACACTGTGATGGTCATCTAGTGACTCTAAAAAGAATCAGAGCTTCTAAATTTTCTACAACTCCAAAGTGCTCAAAGTTAAACATACTAAAAAAAGAGAGAATAACATAGGTTTATTAATATATTTTAAGGGAAACGTTCAACCCATGTCTAGAATTATCCTAGAATGTTTCTTATTTTATTAGATTGAATCCTTACCTAATAGAAGAATGATGAAAAAATCCCATTTGCGGGCTAGTAATCAACCCGTTTGATCCATGGGCAAGTAGCCCATTGGCTAATGACATGGACTCAACAATAGTAAAGTCTCCAATTGATGAACATAAGGCGCCATCTTGAAGGTTTATATAAAATATTATGCGACCTAACTAGTTAGTAAATAAAATAACAATGTTGGGCAGCTTTAAGACTAATTGAAGCAATAATCAAAAAGTCTTACGAAACGAATTTAAAGCTTGCGAAAACCGATGATTGAAATTTGCCATTTTTTAGGAGTTCTACCTCTTAATGTAAATCCAATGCAACAAATAACTTGTGATTTACTCCTTTATTGAGGTTGCAATCAAAAAGGAAAGTTTAGATCTTCAAATCCTCCCTCCAACAAACTGCATGTGATCTAGGCAATTTCATCACACTCTATGAACTTTTTGTGACTGCTCGTGATGAAAGATTGCAAAAGACGACCATCCAAGCAGCTAATTAAGTAACGGATAGCAACAATAGTGGCAGTGACTAAATGAGTAAGAGGATGAGAACAGAACAAGAGTCAAGAGTTTGTTTAAATGAATGTAAAAAATGTGGGCCCCATTTAGAAAAAAGTTTCAGTTAATTTTGGCAATTTTCATGTCTAAACAAATTTGTATCGATGTGATTTAAACATTTTTGGAATCGTCTTAACAAAGTGCTTATTTTGAGTTTAGGCAAATAAAATTCAAATTCAGCTTTGCTTTTAAATATTTTTAAATGTTATTAATTATTCTTTTGGGCTTGCTTTTTAGGTCATGTAGACTCAAATTAGAATGATTTTGATATTGGCTGAATCATCTCATAGAATTAGTCATGTAGATTATAAGTTTGATGAGATATAGCTGGTGTGATTCTCGAAATATTTTTTTCATTTTCTACACCATAATTTGATTATTTTTTATCCAAAGAATTGTGTAAAAATTTGTGCTTGATCAGATCAATTTAATAAGCCATGGCAAGTAATAAATAATTAATTATTTATATAAGCTAATAAGGGATTAATCATATATTTAATCCTACCATTTAGGTTTAGTTAGTGTCAATATAATTTAGGCTCAAATCTATGATAAATTGATTTATTAACAAAAGTATTAAATAACTAAATATTCACATATGATAATTAGAAAGTATTTAGTATTTTAATTAAGATCATAAGGATTTAATTTTGTTAATTTCAAGAACTAAACATAGGATAATTAATCAATATCAATTAGCCAAATTAATAGATAATTAAATATTCACTTAGGATAATTAGCCATTCATTTTGGGTATTTATTGGAATATTAAAATTATTATTAGGATTTAATTATAGTAATTAATCTAAGAAATTTAATCTGTTCTTTAATTAGCAGAGTAATCAGTTACTACCTGTTTGTTTAACTTAATTAAGTATTACTTAAGATAAAATATGTTAACTAATTCTAAATTTGACTAGTCAAGGATAATATAGGATTAAACTAGGCTAATTTAAGATTTGGTTAAAATATTATGTGACCTGACAAGTTAGTAATTAAGGTAATAATATTGGGTAGCTTTAACACTAATTGATACAATAATAAAAAATATTATGCTAAGTGCTAAATTAAACTTACTACTTATTTGTTATGTTAATAAATGCTGATATCAGACTATGGATTGAATAAACGTAATGCAGCTAATCGCATAAATTACTTCATTTATAAATAGATTATCTGAAGTGATCAATAATAAAAAAATAATTAAAATTATGACTGGATTATATTCATGACATGAGCTATCTAGTAGATCCATCAAGGCAGCTCAACTACAGTGCTCATCTAAGTACCTGGACAAGGTGATGAATTAACACTAATCGACCAAGGCAGCTCGAATAACTAGCTCAGAGAATGATTTTGATATTGTATTAATAATTAATAAATGTTATTAATTATTCTTTTGGGCTTGCTTTTTAGGTCATGTAGACTCAAATTAGAATGATTTTGATATTGGCTGAATCATCTCATAGAATTAGTCATGTAGATTATAAGTTTGATGAGATATAGCTGGTGTGATTCTCGAAATATTTTTTTCATTTTCTACACCATAATTTGATTATTTTTTATCCAAAGAATTGTGTAAAAATTTGTGCTTGATCAGATCAATTTAATAAGCCATGGCAAGTAATAAATAATTAATTATTTATATAAGCTAATAAGGGATTAATCATATATTTAATCCTACCATTTAGGTTTAGTTAGTGTCAATATAATTTAGGCTCAAATCTATGATAAATTGATTTATTAACAAAAGTATTAAATAACTAAATATTCACATATGATAATTAGAAAGTATTTAGTATTTTAATTAAGATCATAAGGATTTAATTTTGTTAATTTCAAGAACTAAACATAGGATAATTAATCAATATCAATTAGCCAAATTAATAGATAATTAAATATTCACTTAGGATAATTAGCCATTCATTTTGGGTATTTATTGGAATATTAAAATTATTATTAGGATTTAATTATAGTAATTAATCTAAGAAATTTAATCTGTTCTTTAATTAGCAGAGTAATCAGTTACTACCTGTTTGTTTAACTTCATTAAGTATTACTTAAGATAAAATATGTTAACTAATTCTAGATTTGACTAGTCAAGGATAATATAGGATTAAACTAGGCTAATTTAAGATTTGGTTAAAATATTATGTGACCTGACAAGTTAGTAATTAAGGTAATAATATTGGGTAGCTTTAACACTAATTGATACAATAATAAAAAATATTATGCTAAGTGCTAAATTAAACTTACTACTTATTTGTTATGTTAATAAATGCTGATATCAGACTATGGATTGAATAAACGTAATGCAGCTAATCGCATAAATTACTTCATTTATAAATAGATTATCTGAAGTGATCAATAATAAAAAAATAATTAAAATTATGACTGGATTATATTCATGACATGAGCTATCTAGTAGATCCATCAAGGCAGCTCAACTACAGTGCTCATCTAAGTACCTGGACAAGGTGATGAATTAACACTAATCGACCAAGGCAGCTCGAATAACTAGCTCAGAGAAACAACTCGGCCACCAGGCACACATAGAGAACTGAGGTGGGTTCTTACAAACAACTAAAATGACTTCAGCAAATTACCTCTGCGTTGCCTCAATCGACATACGTGTTACTTAAAATGAAGTGCGCGAGAACAAATACTAAAGTGGTAAACCCTTAACAAAGAGAGGCGTAAAAGAGATTATAATAATGGGAATGTAGGAAAAGATATATCAACATGGGGCATAAGGCAGCTAAGCCATATAGTGAATGAGCTAGAGGAAAAATAAATTAGGTATTTCTTGATATATGTATTATTATGACATGTAATATATCTCAGTTCAGCCCGTTATAAATATGGATGACAACTACAATGTAAAAGGACCCTTCTTCTTGAATATTGAAGCCACTCATTTCTTCTAATTTTGTACCACTATTCTTTGTGCCCGCTATCTTTTCTAGCTTTTTCTTGTTGGTATGAATCCATGGATCCAACAAAAATATTCATTAAAATTAATTAGGATAATTGCTGATTAATTAAATTAAGTAAAAATAAACTTTGAATGCATAATCAACAAAAGATTAAACAAAGTAAAAAATTTGTCAACCCTTGAGTTCCTTAAATGATTCATTATTTGGATTGACTTAGCAATTGGGATTCATTAATTCCAACAAAATTCTAGGTTTAGCAAATTCCAGATATTAAGAAGCCCCTTAAAGTTCTTTAACTATATTTACATCAAATCCAACCTAGTTCTACAATCAAGGAGAAAAAACATTCACTTGTTGATGTGATCTAGATCACCAAAGAAAGCTCAGAATATAAAAATCAGTGTTTGATGCAGCTAAAAGGGCCTAAACATGAGTGGAATTTCTAGCCAAATACTGCAACTTTAAACAGTCGAGTTGAACCATATATATTTTCCAATTCATTCTTGTTATTTCTAACTTGAGCCAAAGCTCTCCAATTTTAGCATTCCCTCGTTGAATTTCTCTGATCTGATTCTGCGCAAATCATTCATTCCCGTCCTTTTCTTTTCTAAAACAAAACCCTCCATCCATGATCCAGCACGGAAAGCACTCATCAATCCAAAAAATAAGCATTGATCAAATCACTACTACTGAAAGAGAAATTTAAACTGAAGAAACTGACATTCATACCAGCGACGGAGTAATTGTTCTCCGGTGAAGCGAACAGGAAAGCATCAGCTTCAGCTATTTTTCTGCGGAAAGCCTCGACGACAGGAGGGTAAGTACCGTTAACCTCAAGATCAGTGTTGATCAATGGAAGCTCAGAGATGTCCACGTGCTCGATCTCTATCCCCTCAATAGACCGCTCGCAGAGTTCCACAGCTTCAAGATAGAACAAATAGATTCACAGATTTAGATATCCAAAAAGAAGGAGAGCAAAGGAAGAAAGGCAAGGTGAGAAATAGAGAGATGCCGCTTCGAATGAGTCCGCTGTTGAAGGAAGCTCTGCGAAGAGAACCGCTTATAGCCACCACCTTGATTGGTGGTTTCGCCGCCATGGCCAACGATCACTTCTCTCGCCGCCGGCTCTGGGCGACAATTAATGAACCAAATATAAATAAGAACAGATGTTGACGACAAAACTCTCTTAGAGAAATTATTCGATCACCCCAATGGAAAATTAAAAAAAATAATAATAATAAAAGTAGGGCTCACGAAAATACATTCATCGGCGGTTGAGATCGCGATCACCCCAATGGAAAATTAAAAAAAATAATAATGATAAAAGTAGGGCTCACGAAAATACATAACACTTGTATGAAATAATTTTTTCATATAATAATACAAACTCTAGCATAATTATATGATATATTATTTAATAATAACATATTACAATTTAATGTTAATATATGTTTTAATTTAATATAAATTTTAGTTATTTTAATTTTAATAAAAAAATTACTTATAATGTATACATTATCTTATTTAATTGTTGTAAAATATTTTAATTCCTTAAAGTGGAACTAAATGCTGAAATGAGAAAACGCATTACACATGTGTATATCACCCCAATTTTATTTATTTAGATGTCTATCCTAAATGAGGCATGTGGAAATCTGATGGCGGAAATTTTCCAAGGGAACATACATACCGTTCAATTCTTATGTATTTACATATATAATTGATGTGTGTTAGAAAGTCTACCGTCATAGAGTGATTACTTAACATTTTAGTGTGGTACGAGACTCCAAACTCCAGCACATAATTAGATAATAAAAGAGAAGTGAGAGGAAAAACCTCGATTTTTACTTGGAAAATTCTGTAAATGAGAAAATCACGAGGTCTAACCCAATTGAAATGATCCACCATGTAATTTTGAGTAAATGGGTTCACTATTCTCTTGATTTAGAGAAGATTGAGCTATAAGGGTTGATAATGGTAGTTCATTGATAATACATTTATTCTAACTATAATGAATGTAGTTTTCGATGATAAGTTGACTATAAGGGTTGTAGTCGATTGTTATGGAGGCAATTGTCGTCGTGAATGTTATAGATAATGGTCGTAGTGTCGGCTTGTTGTATAGGTTGTAGTTGAAATTCATAAAAGTAGTTGGACATGTGCTTCTGAAACGTCGGTTGGCCACAAAGGTTGTAGTAAAAAGCTACAAGAATTGTGAGTCATGTAGGTCATAATTGGTCACATTGACCAGCCCGTAGGCTGTAGGGGCCAGAGTCGAATGTTGCACTAATTATGAACCACATAAGTCATAATTGGTCATATAGCTATAGTGATGAGCTATGACGATGTTCGTGGGTCGCATGAGCCTAAGTTGGGAGCTACATGAGCTATGAAAAGTTGGAATTGGAAAGTTTTTGGGCATCTTTATGATATTGTTTCCAACGCTGAAGAAAAGGTTAATTCTTCGGAGCTAAAAAACTATAATAATGGTAGCAGTTGGGATGTTTTGATGCAACATCAATGAGCTATGTGATGTTAATAAACCGTAAGGGTAGGAGTCGGGAGCTACACAAATTGTGTATCATGTAGGTCGTAGCTGGTCACGTGGGTCATAATGGTGAGTTGTGATGACGTCAGTAAGCCACGAGAGCTGGAGTCAGGAGAGCATAAGCTATGTGCTGCATAGATCGTAGTTGGTCATGTAGGACATAGTGATGAGTTGTGATGACGTTTCGTTGGCCATGAGGACCAGAGTTGAGAGCCTCAATCGTTGTGCACCATGTAGGTCATAGTATTGAGCTTTGATGACGTTTGTAGGTCGTGAGAGAACACGGGTTGTGTTCCACATAGTCCATAGTGGTGAGCTATGTTGATGTACGTAGGCCGCAGGGGTGGAGTCTGAAGCTGCATGGAGGGAGCTCTAAGAGTGAAGAAAGTCACCATCTTTGGGATGTATTTATTACACCGTCTTCAGAATGTGTCGTTGTACCGTAAGTGAGGTCTGTTGTTGCTTTGTGATGTTCATCGGGGTTTTCCAGTACATGCTTTGACTTCACAAGGTACTTTGCTACAAGAAACAGGTGGCAATCAATGATGGTCGATTATAGCTAGCGGTAGTTGGAGGTGTATGGGGTCAAATTTGGTTGAAGAAAGTGACAACTAGAGTTGACCAGATCTGCGGTGTAGGATGTTGAGTTGCAGCTCCCTCTTTTGCAGACTCTGGTCTTTCTCATGCCTAAGGTCCAAGTCTCCTTCTCATGAGGGCGGTAAGGCTTAATTTATAGAGTACAAGTTACAAATAATGAAGGAATTTGGGCCACTCTTGATCGAACAACCGAGAAAAATCCCCTTGATTGGACAGTGTTCGTTGGACATTTTAATGCCTTGATGATGTTAGGATTGAGCGATCTTGGGTTCATTGGACTTGTCTTGCCTAGACACTCGATTAGTTATATGTTTGTCAAATTTGGGATCTATTTGACCTTTCAACTATGCTTGGAAAGCTTACAAAGCATTTTACTGGCTTGATCGTGATTTGACTAAAATTGGACCGATTATGATATAGTTGGGTCCGTCTCTTCAAACTAGATGAATTTTGGTCGAAGTTTAAGCATTTTGTTGTTAAAAAAGCTGCTTTGAGATGTGTCTCACATGCATTGAGATTCGTGTTGGATGATAGAAATTTTTTTATAGTATATCAGTTGTCCCATATTTTTTGGCAAGACCAATTTTGTAGTTCGAAAATATCAAAATCTAGAGCACTTTATATTTTCATGATATATTAAAACAATATTGATTAATGATTTAAGTGTTATGCATGTAAATATATAGATTTTGATGGTGTATCAGTTACCCCATTAATTTTTAGCAAGTCCAACTTAAATTATTTTCTTCTTTAATTAGTTTTAAGTTGACCTTAACATTTTTTGAATAATTATTTTTTGAATTATTTATTTTTAAATTAGCTTAAAGTTATTTATAATGTTTTTAAGTTAGTTTTAAGTTATTTAATTTACATTTAAGTTATTTTAAAGTCCCTAAAAGTTTTAAACCAAATATACTCACAAATGATAAGCATTTAATTAAAATGTTCACAAGAAGAACCTGCATGTGAGAGGTTCCCCTCCTTCCTTTATTTTATTTTGTTTCATTTTCATTTATTTATATATGGAAAGAACTACACATGATATATGAAGATCATGAAACATGACATATGCGTGGGTTGGACCACATATGAAACATGAATTAAACTAGACCATACATGAAACATGAATTAAAGTTGACTACACATGAAACATGGAGTATAGAATGAAGTTAAATTTGGTTAGGATCATGTTAGGTTAAGCTTCGACTAGAGTTGAGCTAGGTTGAGCTAGGGTTAGGCTAGGTTGAGTAAGGGTTGAGCTGGGTTCAGTTAGGGTTGAGTTGGGTTCAACTAAGGTTGAGCTGGGTTCGGTAAGGGTGAGCTAAGTTCAACTCGGGTTAGGCTAGGTTTAGCTAGGGTTGGCTAAGTTGGGTTAGGATTTGAGTTAGGTTAGGCTAGGTTGGTTTAGGGTTTGGGTAAGGTTAGGTTAGGGTTAAAGCAAGGTTGGGCTAGGTTGGGTTCAGACTAAGTTGGGTTCGAGCTAATCGAAGTCTGAACCAAACCTAAGACTAACCTAATTATTTCATTTCATTGGTTTAAAAAAAAACAAAATACAAAAAAACTAAAATACAAAGGAGAAAAAAGACTTATCGGAACGAAGCCAACCACCGAGCACACCACCGAAAGCAACGCAGGAAGAGGAGGAAGGACAATCATAAAATCACTAGAGAGGTAGTGTCGGTCATTTTTTATAATGATTTAGAATATATATAATTTTGGTTTTGAAAGTAGCATTGAAAATGAGATCATATAGATCTCATTCATTTAATAGTTTAGATAGTTGAGCACGATACTACAAGTGATACACCACCCCGAAAGGTAAGCACACAACTTGTTAGTAGGCTTAACCATTTAAACTACAAAATTTATGACATTTTTTCAGTCTGAACACTTTGTGACCGACAATTTCCCTACCTAATACAAAGATTAGATAGGGTTTATATTACCTGGATTCCTAATTCCCTATAGAGATAGACCTTTATATTTAATTATATCTTAAATAATTAAAGTCACTTAAAAAAACTCTCGATTAACATCAGGGGTTTCGTCTTCAAGAAATCAAAGTTAAGTTTTCACGATTGTTTGTAAAAAGTCAAATGGAAGGGCTCAATTTGGAACAGTTATTTTCGGAATCCAAAAGAGTGAATAGTAGGAGATATCGAAGATATTGAAGAAGCCTCGGTGACATCTAAAATTAATATATAGTTTGGATTTACATTTTTGAAAGAGATAATATAATTTTTCAATCGTGCAATTTATTAGAATTTGAGAATTATATTTACACGACATATGCAAAATAGCCCAAGAAGACAGGAGAAGTTATGTGTACCGAACAACCGCCTCAGAAGCCTAAAAAGTGTTTAGGACTTATATTCACACGACATACGACCGTACAAAAGTCTAAAAAACGTGATGATTTACGTTGTGCAAGAAGAACAACCTCGAAGTCCTAAAGGGTTTAAGTTGTTTAAGACTATCAAAAAATTCTACTGAAGAACATCCTTCACTTCATGTTATAGTTTCGACCATCGTCCGAAGATTGTCCACTGCTCGATCGTGCATCACCTTGTTACGAGAAAAGAGGAGAGAAGTGAACTATGCTTAGAACGGTTTATCCCAAGTCCTTATTTTTATTTAGTGTGATCTTGTGCAAAGTGTTTTGGAATAATTTTATTTTATGTTAAGCGACACCGGTTAAGATCTCATGGTTCTATCATCCCGGCATGACTGTTAATTTTGGATTTACTTGGTCTAAATAAGTTGTTTGACTCATTTAAACTGGATGATTCTACTTAGCAACCGTAGGTTACCTCATTCGAGATATTCTCGTAAATCCAAAAAAAAGGTAAATTATTATGATCTTATTATTAATTTATTAAAGTTTTAAAACATTATTTATGATTAAAAAAAACTTGTTATGAAATTTTGAAAAGGTGTTGAAATTAAAAAAAAAGTATGTTGACTTTGCATTATAAGGTCTCAATCCTATACATATTTTCTACATTTGCTATTCAAGAGTGTTATAAAAATATGCTAGAAGCATAGTAAATAATAGCAAAATAATAATATTGCATGTATGACAGAGCATATGTAGTGAAGTGCAGTAAATAACAAGAGAATAACTTTGCAGGTATAAGGAAATATGAACAGGAAAGAGCAGTAAAAAAAGAAAAGCTCAGTGCATACCTGTGGACTCTGACAAAGCTTAAAAAAGAATTGCAATTAGGTAGCACAAGTGTATATAACAAAATTAAGCCAATAGTTGCAATTTAAATATAAAAGAAGACTTTAAACACGCATGTTTTCATAAAAAGTTAAGTGATAAGCATATGGAAACTTAGAAAGCGGTATAAGAATTTAGATTGGGGACGGGCTAAGCTTTAGACTTCTAATTTGTTATAATCCCACAGGCAACCTAGGCATTGAAGTTTATATATCAATATTGAATAGCAGCTACCAGCAAAACACTCTAAAAACACTTTGGGCAACTTTGAATCCCTATTACCTGAATGACAAATGAACATGTAACAGGTAAGCCTTTCCGATCATATGTGTTATGTATCTGTAATGTAGTATTTCTGTAGCATTGTAATTTCAAGATTTTCAGCAACCGATGTTATAAAGCTATAGTTCACAAGTCATTCAAGATTGGGGTTAAAGCTTCCAATAGCCTAAAGAAATGAGAAGGGCAGCTACTAATCAATTATTGGTTTAAAAGTTTCAGCTATATAAGCATGAATATAGTTTTACATCATCGGCCTTTAACCCCAAATCGTCCAACTTATAGCATCGGTCGATGCTCCATATAAATATCCAATCATAGAAAGAGATGAAAAAAGAATAGTGTTCAATTTATAATTTAAACCGGCCTCATATCACGGGACTAAATCATGCGGGCAAAGAAGATATTTCCTCAAAGAGGAATTATAAATTGCCTCATCGCCCATGTCTAGACCCAATATAAAATATTATAGTTTAGAGAAATGTTTCCCACACATAATTTCTGCACCACATGATGACATAGTAGAACATAATGCCAACAACAAATTCCCAAAAAAGAACTTATAATGAATGCTAAATCTGCTACATTGTAGTAGGCGTTCAGATCTCCCTTTGTCATGGCAAATGCACAATGCTTTCACACATTATGGTAACAGTTAAGAACCATCAAAGAGAAGAAGAAGAAGCTTTATTTCTGTACACTCAGCTCAAGACTAAAGTTTCGAAAAAAAATCTTGATAACTTAACTTTCCCGGATAAGGATGGGAAAACTGAATCACATGAATCACAAAAGATCATCACAAAAGATCTGCAAACATTTAACAATAAAGCAACACATCTACACTTTTTAAGCAAATATGCGCCAATCATTGATATTTAAAAACACACGTAATGAATAGATTTGACCATAGGAAATACCAATTACGCGAGATCCGATGGTATTTGGCCATAAACCACCTCATCTTTCAAAAGTAAATAAACGCCAACCATTCACATTTGGTAACATCCTAAACTGAATAATATGGTGCAAAAACTCCAGGATTGAAAAATGGTTCGGTGAAATCCACCCACATAACAAAACCGATCCCCAAAATAAAGCTTCAAAAATAACAAAATGCTAAGAAGGTTGCTAGAGGAGCACCAATCAATTCTTGATACATCACCTGCCATTATTAGAGGAGAAAATGACTCAAGCATGCCAAAATGTCAATTTTTCCTAACAATCATCATCACCGCATGATGCTTTGCATTGCAGAGTAAAGCACACTTCCAAGTGAACTTTTAAAGACATTGGCTACACTAAGAGAAATTCAATTGGTTTAATAAATAAAATAGTAATGCAGCAATTCTCAAGGTAGACGCAACAAGCCTTCATGCTTGATTTGTAAAATCCCCAACACCACTAAGTATGGAGTTTCACTAAAAACTAATATAGAGCTCAAAACAACTACTCAGAGCTGCACTTTTCCCATACCAACTTCAATCATTTGACAAATATATATATATATATATATACAGCTTAAGCTCAAAGTCATTCAATGCTTCGGCATCACTTCCCTCAATGAAGAACAAGAATGGGAATCTAAAAATAAAATGAAGGAAGATTTACGAACATGCCACTAAATTCTTATGCTTTTAACTTTCATAAGGTCCACCTTGTTTAATGACAGCCCAACAAAGTAGAATTCAGTAAATTTCAGTAGGACTAAAACCTGAAAACTGCTAAATCCCAAAAACCAGTTTGCTGTAACAGCAATTAATTTCTGTTAATAGGATATCAAGCAACCTTTTATTATCTTTCGATCCATCCTCGGAATCATAACATGGCTACGCGGGTTGCCTTGAAATTGCCAAACCCCGCTCAAGGCCATCCTCGATGTATTGGCCATTCAAAAAAATTTTTATGCTATATTCCCCATAAATTTTGGATATTCCAAAATTTCATTGTTTTTTTTTTTTTCAAATAAACTGAGGTGCATCATGCAGCATATAAAGTCAGTTATCCCTCCCTCTTAACTTATACATTTACATATCTCACACCTAAACTTTCATATTTACACACATAGCACTTTGCACAACTCACAGATGGGACCAGAACAGTTCATGCTCTCGAAGGCTGGTTGGTAGCAAGATTTAGGCAGGATTTATAAAAGAATGAAACTAAATATTTCCAAACAGCAAAAAATAAAGACGACTTCACAAGGCTGTTTGTTAGCAGGATTTATAAATCCTGCCATACAGCAAAAATGACAACTTCAAATCCTGCAGGATCTTAAATCCCGTTTCACCTCCGTTTTATCTTAAATCCCGAAATTAGGAAAACTCAATGGAAGATGGATTTACTGGATTTAGAGAAGCTGATGCGGGCGTAGAAGGGGGGCAGTAAGGAAGAGAAATACCAGGGTTAGTCGGGAGAAGAGGTATGGAAAGGGAGATATGCCAGAGTTTTGGTGAGCTTTGTACGAGCCATGATCCCGTCGTTACCTTCCCGGAGAGCTCCAGTTGCGACTGTACTGCGAGGGCTTCGGGCCCCGGAGGAGGAGGAAGGGGAATGTAGGGGATGGTTTCCAGCGAAACCGTGAGTCGGGAAGCGTGGTGTTTTTTTTTTTTTTTTTTTTTTGAGAAGGAGAGAGGCTCGGCCGAATGATGAGAGCAGTTAGGGCATGCCGGGCATGCCGATGGGAGGAGAGCCATTGTCTGGGGGATAACGGCTAGGGTTCTCCATCGAACGGGTGAGGCCAGAGAGCCGTTGTGAGGGTGTCGTGAGGCTTTTTAAAGGAAATTTCTCTTCTTCTTTTTTTTTAATTTAGTTCTTTCTTCTTCCCTTTTTTTTTTTTTAATTTTAACTTAAATCTCTCGATTTATGTGATTTTTGTGCGTGCATGAAATCATGACAATATGAGTGTCTTTCTAAAGTAAAATTAACGTTCTGAAAGCACACGTGTTGTCTGTTTTGTCATCGGGATCATTTGGACAAGTTTGTCCATGATCGGGTCAATTTGAGTTTGACCCGTGCAAATGCGATTCGTCGAGCCAATTAGAGTCGTCTAACGAGAAAAATGTTGACCTGTCCTCGCCTAAGCGACGATCAAAGTCAAGCAGAACGGTCTGAGCAACGAGGCGCCCAACCCATGTCGAAGGGTCTCGAATTCGCATTATGAGTGTTTTCATTTCATTTTTTAAATTTGATTTTGATTTCGGATGGTGAATTATGTGTGGATTATGGTTTTTATGTGTATTGTGTAAATTGTGGTGTTTTGAAGAATGAAAGCTCCCAAGCCCAAAAGATCTTCCTAGTGTACTTTTAATCCTTATAGGACCCTGCCTTAACTTTCAACATGTTGGTTTTAATCGACTCAACTAGAAATCGAAGATTTGAAACCACACATGAGACTTAAGGGGAGTCAAGGAATGGTTTGAATTTATAAGTGGGGGTGGGTCCCATTGCTAGTAGTCCTCTAGGAGAGTTAACAAGAAAGTTCTATGGCTAAATCTTAAGTTCTAGGAGAAGAATTTTGACCTCACCAAAAATGAGGTCAACAGGTAGGAGGAGTGTGTGTGATGGACTGTGGAGAGGGGGGTATTTATAGGAGTCGAGGAGCTAGGGGTTGACAAAAAGAATAATTAGCTCATACGGATCAACCTCAATAACTGTTGATTAGAGCAAGGTTCATCCCTCTTGGTTGTCATTGGATGAAGCGAAAGTAATTGAAGGCCCCTTAAATCACAAATGGAGCTCCGACAAATCGTCAATAGTGAAACGGTGCATCGATTTACCATAATTGAGCGGGAAAGACCACGGATTGTCGGCGTCGCGAGTGTGTCGACCAGTGGTTTGTGGGCAGTACCGATAACCAGAGCGAGTGTGTCGCTCAGCAGTGCACCCGCACTAATTACTATTGAGGAGCAAGGGTGTCGCATTGGTTTGTGGGCAACAATCTTGTAAGCAGTCACGGGTACACTGAATGGTGGCGCGAGGAGTCGATACCTGGAGAGGCAAGGACACACCTTTTCTTCGCACGGGTGAGCCTCTGGCACCTTATGAAGCTCGGACATTCCTCCTTGTAGGTGCGGGGGTGCTAGAGGAGTCGTAGGGGCGTTCATGCTTCACCTAGAGACCCAGGTGCACCCAGGGAGTGAATTTTAGGTCATGTTGGCCAAAATGACAACCTCAGTCCATCTAAGAAAGAAAAACTCATGGACTTTAGTAATATAGTTGGTTTTGATCAAATTAGTCTCTAAGACAATAAAATTTAGGTCAACATGTGGGTGCACAACACGAAAAATTGAAATTTATAACGAGAGCTCAGTTGCACTTTAAATTGGTCAAATTTGATGTTCACAACTCAAATTGATTATATGTTGAGTTTGAAGAAGATTTGAATTAGTTTTGAGGGTAAAATCATAATTATCATCCAAAGGATTGTGCGCTAAATGAGCTTCAAAATAGAGTTTGATTTCGGCATGAAGGGGCTCGTTTAAAAGATTTCAATGATCCAAACACATTCATGGAGTTTACTTTCCAAAATCAAGCTCCATTGAAAAATTTTACATAAAATAATTTTTTATGCACAAAAAGTTACCACACCAAATTTCACATAAAAAAGACATCTGATATCCACTGAAATCTATTTCAAGCTATCATAAGTTGATAATGAATTATATGTAGCTTTATTAGAAAATTCCAAGCACTATAAGGACCTGTGCAGAGAACAATGATTTCATAGCTTAAAAATGATAATTTCATTATATTTTCTCATCGAGCTGCATTTCGATTATTTTAAGATATAATTGAAGTTGATTATATTTGATTTCAATTTGACATGTTTTCTTTCAAGTCTATTTTAAATATTTGAGTGAATGAAAGGTAAGGTGAACATCATGGACTATTAATGAGTTCAAAATGTTGTCAATCGTTATTAATTGTGTATGTTAAAGTAGTACCTATGCATAGAAATAAGAATGACGACTGTCCTATTTCTCAACTCTTACATTATTGGTGTTGTATTTTGGCAATCTCAAAATAGTTTTTAACAAATAGCAATAACAACCCAATATAGAGATAGGGATAATTAAATTATTAATTATTAACCACTTTATAAAAAATATTTATTAGACATTAGATTTCCAATATTAGTTGAAGAAGTATATATCAAGCCACTATAATGCTCCCTTGTTACTCAATACTATGTTGCCAAGGTGTAATAGTATATGAAGTAATGGTTTTAGTGACCCTACTGTTTATTTCAAAATAAGTTGTATTGAGGACTAAAACAACAATCAACTTATAAGACATGAATTTGGTAATCTTAGCATAAATATGAGGACTAAAACAACAATCAACTTATAAGACATGATTGGCTTCAACGACATGAATTTGGTAATCTTAGCACAAATAATTAAATGATATTCATAAATGATTACATTCAACCAAAAACAAAATGAAAGTCAAACTTTTTATAAGGAAATTTTTGATGTTCTATTGGAGATCATAAGTTAAAATTCAAGAGGGATTCATTTAATATGAGTTACTTGAAAATATAGTCTTTCAAAAGAAGATGGAACTATAGTATAATTTGAATTAATAGTTCATTTTTAATACAATGTACATAAGATGATTGACTTGAATAGAAGTCATTTAATGTTCTTTTCTTCACAATATAAGTGGTAGTTAAAATTTTCTTCTTCTAACTCCTTCATAACTTATCCTAGCAACACTCTTAAATTGT